CTGAGCTCTGATACCAAGAGGGTCAGCTGTGCCAACAAAAAAATTGGCTAAGACTTAAAGATTGAAGCAGAATGCAGAGCTTATAGGGAATTCTTAAAGAATCCCAGATTTGGAAAAAAAAAAAAAAAAAAAGTTTTTATTTTCCTATTTGATGAAATGCTTAGAGAACCTGTAATGTGTTTGTGCCTCTGAGCTTCTGTAGGACATGCACAGGGCTCTGTGGAGCCCAGGAGCAGGATCCTCAATAGTTTACTGGTGACATCCAAGATCTCATAAGAGAACTGAAATAAATTGAGTTCTTGAACTGTATCAAAGCTGTACTTGATAGGTAGCAAGGCATGCTTGTGGAATTTATTTTTCTCCTTGCTTTCAAATCCCAGTGAGTGGCACAAGCTAGAGATCTCAGGGGATAGGAGTTTAAAAGGCTGTGTTCTGCTCACACAAAAACTGGTTTGTAGCAGTTACTTTAGATCCCTTCCTTCAAGTGCCATAAGCAAAAATAAGCAGTCACATATCCTGAATGATTTAGCCAGGCTCCACACGTAAGGAGAATTACTCTGTTTTCAGAGCTTCCCTGCCTGCACGCCTGTGACTGTGGGCCTCAGTTCAGATGCTCTCTTGTTATATGTGGCTGTTGAGCAGTATCAGTTTCTGTGGTGGGAATTCTTGATTATTGATTTTAAATTGGAGAGGAAAAGACTGTGTTGACTGGAAGTTCAGGATGTGTTTATTTATAGCCTTTGGTTGTTTCTTAGCACACTCTGGTTTGCAAAGTGAAAGACAACCAGCTCTTTCCTTTCTCAGATATCCTGGAAGACATAAGGGAGGAGTGTCAGAAATATGGACCGGTGGTTTCCTTGCTTATTCCAAAGGAAAATCCTGGTAAAGGCCAAGTAAGTGAATGGAGGGAAGAGGCTGTGCATTCATTCTCATGGTCGCTCTGTGTGCTGCAGGACTGCTTTCTCAGCTCCTGACTGGCAGCAGTGCTAAAAATAGCTGGTTGTCTTGAAGGACAGCACACATTCCTTCCCAGATATGTAGAGTTCCTAACCTGAGAGGACCCCAAAAACAGCTTCAGAAGGAGGTCTGGAATATGGGAGAGAACAGGAGAAACCAATGTGTAGGAGAGGAAGTGTTGAGGATGTAGAGCATTACCATAATTTCTCCTACCTTACAAAACACACTATAGAAATGAGGAGTGAGAATTGAAATTGCAGCTCAGAGGTGCATCTTCTTCCTTTTGGGTCCACTGCCCTGGATTCCTCTACAGATGGAGGGGAAAAATTTGCTTAGAGACTGTTCTCTCAGTTGCAGAGTTGGGAGGGGGGGCAGGTGGCATGGTGCCCCAGGGGCATTACTTTTCCTCTCTCTTTTTCAGGTCTTTGTTGAATATGCAAATGCTGGTGATTCCAAAGCTGCCCAAAAAATGCTGACTGGAAAGATTTTTGATGGCAAGTTTGTTGTGGCTACGTTTTACCCACTGAGTGCCTATAAGAGAGGATATCTGTACCAAAACTTGCTGTAGGCAGTAGCAACAATCAGGAGAGTTGTCTCACTCCTCTTCCTCACGTATTTTACAGTTGAATGTACAAAAGAGCTTCCTAGCCCTGCTTCTGAGTCATCTGTAAAGGAGAGATGCAAAGGACTGAAATGGGCTTTGAAACCTTTACTGCTGCTTTGTGATGTGCAGAGGAGGCCTGGATGGCTTTAAGCGTGTGCTTGTGTGTGTGTGTAGTGCTTGCTTGTTTACATTGGATGTGTGGCTTTGCCTGTCCTGGCGGAAACTCTGGTGACAGGAAGGTGACTGCGGGAGCCTTGCAGGCAGAGCAGGTCTCGACAAGCACTTTCAAACAATGGAAGTGAGACCACTGAATGTCTTGGCCTTAGCGCCTGGTTTTGCTCTGCAGAGAGGATTTCTTTATTAAGCTTTCCTATAATACCTGTGCTCTCCTCTAGTGGGGAGGAAGAAGGCTTCCCTGCCTTTGCTGTTTGTGGTGAATCGAGCAGAAGCACCATCCTCATCCTCTCAAGACTGTATTGGGAAGACTTTGAGTCTCCACGTCCCTTAGAGCAAAAGGAAGGAAGCAGGAAAATGGTACCTGCTGAGCCTGCAGTGCTTCCCTGTCACTGACTGGTGATCTGAGAAGAGCCACATGTCTCACCTGGCACAGATGGCATGCTGGGCTCGGGGAGCGAGGTGTGGCTGAGCTGAACTTGCTTGTGTGCGTGGGATAGGCAGGGACTGACTGGGTGTGGTTCAATGTCTCAGAGCAGTGCCAGCTTCAGTCCCAACACAACCTGTAAGCACTTTGTAGCCTGAGGTGATTTGAAAACTGTCACACGGAGTCATCTTTCTAGCTTGCACCCTGTGCTGGCACTGACGCTCTGAGCTCTGATGCCAAATCATCTGTAATATGCAAGTGTCTTTAGGTGATGTTTTTGGAAAGGGGTGTGCAGTATTCTTTGTGTGTCTGCAGGACTTCTGCCTGAGAGTCTTACAAGAAGTAATGTATTTGTCTATTGTAGGTTCCACGCTTGGCTTTTCTGTGTTGTGCATTTTGTTTTTGCATTAACCCACTAGACTTGTAGATTAGAAGCACTGACACTTTTGGTCCTTAATAGGTTGCACAAAGGGCCTGGGGCAATCTGAGATCCTGTTTGGAAAGGGCTTGGCCAGTAATCACTCTTAACTGGCCAGATTGATGTCTTTCCCAGTGTCAGGGACAACAGCCACAGGCTTCTGGAGAAAGAACCTGGGTGAGCAGCATCACCACTCCCCCCAGAGCATGCTCTCTGCTCATGTGGCTTTAATGTGCAGGCAAAAGATCCGTAGAGCAGCTGCTAGCATGGAGCAGCCAGATGGTTGCTTCCCGGGGGCACACAGACCCACGTCTGTGTGCAGGGACAGACAGCTCGCTCCCAGCATGGAGCAGCCCTGCACAGAGGGGAATAGCGTATTCCAGCATGCAGCCCTGGTACCAGGTTAGTGATGAGGAGAGCCCTCCTATCACAGATCCTCCTGAATTCTTTTCTCCAGCTGGAATACTTGAAGGCAGCTGCCCAAACTGTCTCTGGCAGTTAATAATACCTGAATTACCTTGCAGTTTACTTCCTTGCAGTTTACTTCTTGCATCTTGCTGATGCTGGACTTGCTGGAATCCTGCACTTAAATGGTCCTCCTGATTTTTGCCCTGTGTGTGCATGTGTGCAGTGTGTTGGAAGAACCAACGTCTGTAGCATTTCACTAGTCTCTGTGCTGGTGTGGAGGCCTGTCTACTACAGCCCTTGCCAAACTTACCCAGAAAGGACCAATCTCTTTGAATTTTCTGTAGCCTTTGAGGTGGTAGATTTTCCAGGAATAAAAATCCCATGGCGAGTTTTAAGGTATGATTTGCTGATCAGACTGTACCCAGAATTATACTACTTCAGTGTACGTAGCTGTAAAGCAGCTTTGCTTAGATGGGGTGTGTGATTCATTGCTTTTAATTCAACTGTCTTTGCAGTGAAGCAGCTTTACTGTCTGGGAGGATCCAGATGATGGCTGGATTAGGGTTTTTTTCTATGTGAAGAGCAGTGTTTAATTTGTATCAAGTGCTCTAAATGTTGCTAGGTATTAACTGACCTCCTCAGCTCTGAGTTTTTGCTGTCTCAGGCAGGCTTGGCCACTGGTACTGCCACTTTCCCAGGTTCAGTGCCATTGTGTCAGCAGCGCTGAGCTGGCTGTGTTGTGCCTCAGCTGGGAGAGGCAGGGCTGAGGGATCTGCTCAGCTAAATGCCAGCCATGGGAGCATGGAGGCTCTCGGCGACGGTGGGACCTGTGCATCTCTCCAGTGCTGTGAGCTGCTCTGCTCTCTTTCAAGCTTATCTCCTTTTCAGGCAGTTGGCTTTGAATTTTTGGTTAAAGGTGAGAGCTGTGCCAGGAACTAAATACATCTGCAAGATGTGAACTCCTGCCACCACATTTTCTCACTCAGACCAGGCTTGAGTGCTGATTTGAGCAAAAAACCGAAGGCTCTTGTTTTTTTGTTTTTGTTCCTGCTGGCTGGAGTTGAAGATGCTGATCTCTGTCACTGGGTCCAGTTCCTGACATTTCCCTGCAGGCTGCAGGGAGCTGTAGAAATTCCTCAGAACAGAAGCTTTTTAGGATTATCTGTCACCATCTGCCTGCAGCTTGATAGAAAAAGGCTCTGAAACTCACCCTGGTGTCTCAGTGAGCTCTTGGTGGTTTGGCATAAGTTCCAGCCCTGCTAAAGCCTGTGTTCCTTAACTCTAGATTGTACCTGAGTGTGTGTGATGGTTTGATCTAAAGTGACTGTTTGGCTGTGGATGGGCCTGGCTCTCCTTGTCTCACAGTACCACTTGCTGAAGGGGTGAGGTGTTGAGGTTTTCCCCCAGGTGCTTGCAGGTTTCTTGGTTGTGCAGGTAGAGTTTCCTCTTACGAGTTGTCCTTCTCCACAACTACAGTGCTGGGTCTTTCCCTGGTGCTGCAGCTGTCAGCTGAGGTCACGTTCCCAGTGTAGGCTGGAGCTCTTGCAGCATCTGGAGAGGAAGTTGTGGCTGGGGGAATGTGTCACCTGGGGAGAAGTCTGCTTCAGGGAGAAGGACGAAAGGTGAAGCCTCTGGAGACAGCACAGCTGTGAGTGGTGTCCCTGTGCGGGGCTTTTCCTGGCTCTTAAAGCTGAGGGCCGAAGGTGGAATGAAATCCGGCAGCCAGTTTCAGCTGCTGTGCGTGTGTGTGTGCGCGAGCAGGGTGAGAGAGAAAGTTCTTTGCTCTTCCAGCTCTTTGTTCCAGCCAGGGAGAGTAACTCTGGGTCACTGCCTGAGGCACGGCCAGATCTCATCTTCGTTCCCAGCTCCATCCCCGCTGCTCTCGGCACGGTGCCGGCACGGCGCACCTCTCGGCTCGTCCTCCTCCCCCTGGCCGGATCCGTGACCTCGCTCTCCATCCGGGTTATGCGCGAGCTGTCGTGCCCCGTCACGCTGAGCGGCCGTGCGCTCGTTCCCTCCCCGATGACCAATAAATGACGCTTGGAGACACGGCAGCGTGCAGCCAGCTTCATTCCCGCGCGTCATCCGCCCGGCGGGGTCGGGAGGTTCCGTGTGGGAGCGGTGCCTCGCGGCTGCCCGTCAGCGGGGGCCGAGGGCCCGGCCGCGTTGCACAACCGCCCCGTCCTCGCGGCGGCCCCTCGGGGACGGGGCGCGGCGCCGGCGAAATGACGCGCGGGGCGCGGCCGTGTGCGCCGTGCGGCCGCGGGGGCCGGCTGCCTGCGGGACAGCCCTGCTTTCCGCTGGGTTAGCGGGTCCGCCCCGCTCTCCGCCGCTCCGCGCTCCCGGGGCCGCCGTGCGGGCGTCCTCCCGCACGCTCCGCCGACGTGGCGCCCGTTGCCGTGGCGGCCCGTCGCTCCCACCCCCTTCCCGTCTATCGCAGCTCTCGTTGGCCGAGGTTCGGGGGGCTGCGCGTGACCCCGGCTCCGATTGGTGGCGTTGCGAGGCGGGCGGGCCAGTGAGGACGCGCGGGGCGGTTCCGCCTCCGCCCGCCATTGGCCGCGCGGCGGCGGAGGCTATAAAAGGGGCGGCCGGCGGCGGCGGCGCCGCGCGGAGGGATGGAGGCGGCGGGCGAGGGGGACGTGGCGGCGCTGCGGCGGCGGCTGGAGGCGGGCGGGCAGGGCCACGTGCTGCGCTTCTGGCCGGAGCTGGGCGCGGCGGAGCGCCGGGCGCTGGCGGCCGAGCTGAGCGCCATGGACGTGGCCGAGATCAACCTCTTCTTCCGCCGGGCGCGGGGCGGCGGCGGAACGGCGGCGGCGGCGGGGCCGGACGCGCGGCTGGAGCCGGTACCGCGGGACGTGCTGGGCAGCGCCTCCCGCGACCGCCGCCTGCTGCCGGGCTGGGAGAGCCGCGGTAGGTGCGGGGAGCGGCGGGGCGCGACGGGGCGCGGAGCGGGGCCGGCGCGCGGAGCCCCACGCGTGTCCCGTCCCTCCCGTGCGCAGGGCTGGCGGAGATCGCGGCGGGGCGAGTGGGCGCGCTGCTGCTGGCCGGAGGACAGGGCACCCGTCTGGGCGTCCCCTACCCCAAGGGCATGTGCGACGTGGGGCTGCCCTCCCGAAAGAGCCTCTTCCACCTGCAGGCCCAGCGCCTGCGGCGGCTGCAGCAGCTGGCGGAGGAGCGGCACGGCACGGCGTGCAGCATCCCCTGGTGAGCGATCCGCGGCTGCCGTGTGCTCCTGTGTGGGTCGGTGCGTTCCCTGGGCTGACGCTTCCCTGCCGGCTGTCACGTTGCGAGTGATGCCCGCTGTTGGCTCGGCCGAGAGATGGCCCCGCTGGGCTCTGTAGGTCCCTCGTGAAGCGAGGATGCCAGACCCTGTGTTCCCACACAGGTACATCATGACGAGCGGGCGGACCATGGAGTCCACCAAGGAGTTCTTCCAGAAGCATCGCTACTTTGGCCTGAAGAAGGAGAATGTCATCTTCTTCCAGCAGGGCATGCTGCCCGCCCTGGGCTTCGATGGGAAGATCCTGCTGGAGGAGAAGGGCAAGGTCGCCATGGCGCCAGGTCCGTGGCTGGCAGCAGGTGCAAGGGGCTCAGTGCCGCACCCCGGCCTGTTCCCCACTCCCCCAGCTGGGCTCCCCACCGTCGGCCAGCCCAGCCCCTCCCGTGGGAGCAGGCGGTGGCTGTGCCATGACGTGTGTGAATGACACAAGCTGGGAGGTGCCGGCTTGGCAGGAGGGCTGGGGTGGGGTGTAGCAGAGTTGGGGAGCCTCCGAGCCCGCTTCTTGGCCATGCTGAGGAGGAGGGCCCAGCACGGCTGTGCTCAATGCTCCTTCCCCACCCCAGATGGCAATGGGGGTCTGTACCGGGCACTGGGGGTGCACGGCATCGTGGATGATATGGAGCGGAGGGGTGTGCAGAGCGTCCATGTCTACTGTGTGGACAACATCCTGGTGAAGGTGGCTGATCCCAGGTTCATCGGGTTCTGCCTGGAGAAGGGAGCGGACTGCGGGGCCAAGGTATGGTTCTCAGGCTGCCCCCACCCTGGCTTTCCTAGCCCCGTTCCAGCTGTGACATGCTGGCCACACATGCAGTGGGTGCAGCTAACACTGAGCACATCTCCACGTGTCAGCTGCGGGATCTTGCACAGCCAAAGCTTTTCTCAAAGGCTGGATTAACAGCAAAAGGTGCTGAGCATTTGTGTTTGCTTTGGGCTCGGCTCTGGCAAACAGACAGTAGATCTCACTGACCTTGGTGCTGTTGGAGCTGGTAAGGGAAAGCGGTCCCTCCCTCTGGCTGGCAGGAGGAGAAAGTAAACCCGGATGCCCTTCTCTGGGCAGGTGGTGGAGAAGACCAACCCCACGGAGCCAGTCGGCGTGGTGTGCCGCGTGGATGGTGTCTATCAGGTGGTGGAGTACAGTGAGATCTCCCTGGACACCGCACAGAAGCGGGGCCCAGATGGGCGGCTGCTTTTCAACACCGGCAACATCGCCAACCACTACTTCACCACTTCCTTCCTGAAAGATGTCGTCAAGTACGGGCTCAGCTCCATATCCTGGACCCGGTCCTCCAGATGAGATGAGCCATGGCCGGCGTGGTGTCCCTGTGCCCGCCTTAGGCTCGCTCTCTTGGCCCCTCGCAGCACCTACGAGCCGCAGCTGCAGCACCATGTTGCTGAGAAGAAGATCCCACACGTGGATATTGAAACGGGGCAGCTGATCCAGCCTGAGAAGCCCAATGGGATCAAGATGGAGAAGTTTGTCTTTGACATCTTCCAGTTCTCCAAGTATGGCTGTCTGTCCCTGGGCCATGGGTGGGGATGTGTCCTTGGGGATGCCCCAAGAGCAGACCCGACCCTCCATGTCCCATTCTCTCCTCCCCAGGAAGTTTGTGGTGTACGAGGTGCTGCGTGAGGATGAGTTTTCTCCTTTGAAGAATGCAGACAGCCAGAACGGCAAGGACAACCCCACCACGGCACGGCACGCCCTGATGTCCCTGCACCACCGCTGGGTGCTCAACGCAGGGGGACACTTCGTGGACGAGAATGGTACACGCCTCCCCGCCATCCCCCGGTGAGCTGCTGTTTCCCTGGAAGGGCAGAGCCTCCTCCGTCCCCCTGGGCTGGCTGTAGGACATTGGGCAGCCCCCAGCCTTCCTGGTGCTGGTTCTCCTGCACCCAGTGCTGCCACCAGCAGATCGCAGCACCCCTTGGCCAAGAGACTGCTGGTTGGACATGGCACCGAGCAGAGCGAGTCGGGGATGGCTTTCCCATCCTTCTTAACCCTTCTTTATTCCCACGTAGCATCACAAACGGAAGGTCAGATGCCACCCCGGCCGATGTCAATGACAAGTAACTATACGTGCCACCGGGCTGCATGGTGGCGGGGCTGGGTGTAGGTACTAACGGGCTGCAGGCGGAGCGAGGTGACCGGGCACTAACAGGGGCTCGGGCGCATGCTGCCTGCAGGCATGTCTTGCTGTAGGAGAGTGGTGGCACTGCTCCTTCCTGGTGCTCCTTTCCGCAGAGGCTTTGGGAAAAGGTGAAGGGTTCTGTGCTGCTGTGGTGAGCTGGTCCATGCCCTGCTGGTGGGGAGCAGCCCCAGGGCATGAGAGGTGACTGATGTCTCCCAAGGTCCTCCCGACACCCAGCGGGTCACTCGCTGGAATGGGATGAAAGGCATTGCACACCCTGAGCAGGCTTTGATGTAGTATTGGCCGTAGTGGGGATGGCCAGCTGTGCTTGGGAACTCCAGCCATTGGGCTCAGAATCCAGGCTGACATCAGCAGAGCTGATGGCAAAAGGCACATGTAGATGCTCCATCCCTGAAGGCATTCAAGGCCAGGCTGGATGTGGCTCTGGGCAGCCTGGTCTAGTGGTTGGCAACCCTGCACATAGCAGTGGGGTTGAAACTAGATGATCATTGTGGTCCTTTTCAACCCAGACCATTCTATGATTTACAAACATGGGAAGCATAGAGAGGTGTTAGATTTATTGATCTAATAGCAGCATGCTCTGCAGGCACAGGGATATCTGTGGTCCAGGCACTGGGCTTATCTCAGAAGGATACACCAATGGGTTGGAGGGCACTCCCACTGCTTGCCTTCCATCCCCTTCATAGACACTGCACTGCTGCCTTCTGACGGATGCACTTGTGTTCTTAGTTTCTAATTCAGAACTCTGGGTGCTGCCAGGTTTATAGATACCATCGTGCAGTTAGAATGTAGGTAGTTGCAGGTAGTGGCAGTTCAGATTTTTTTTCTTCAATACTGAATGTTTTTTAATGATACTTAATGATGAAAGCAGCCAGACTCTAAGGAGGACACAGGCACCAGGACCCCATGCACCACTGTGCCATCACTGTCAAGGAAGGGACACCCTGGGGTGGTGCTGCAGGGGCTGGGGGCAGTCCCCATGGCAGCAGGGTGTAGGAAGAGGGAGCATCAGATGCAGTGGGGCAGAGGGCTGGGGGCATGGTGCTGCTGTAGTGCACACAAAGATCCTTCTTAAAGCTGTGCCTTGAGTTCTCTCCTCTTCTAGCTGCTGCCCTTATCTAAACCACAGCTCACGCCTACCTGGGGAGCACACAGGGCTTTGCTAACCGGGGGGCCATGTGCCAGCAGCCTGCCAGCACCAGCCCCCAGCCCACAGTCGCCTGTGGGGGGCTGACAATGGGATCTCTCCGCAGTCTGAAGGACGCCAGCGACGTGCCCATCCAGTGTGAGATCTCCCCCCTTGTCTCCTACGGTGGAGAGGTAAGTGTGGCTCAGCCATGGGGCAGCGCCCACCTCCTCCCCCTGCCTAACAGATTGCTTTCTGCTCCACTAGGGTCTGGAGGAGCTGGTGAAGGAGCAGGAGTTCCGTGCACCTTTGGTCATCGATGAGGATGGGACCCACGAGCTGGTGCACAACGGCATGTAGGCAGTGCTGGGACCCGGCCGTTCTCGGATATGCTGCAGCTGTGCCTGGCTCCGGCATCTTGTCTGCTTCTATTTATGTTTTAATTTAAAAACCAAACACTTGGTGGATGCCCCTGCCGTGAAGCACATCCGCGGTGCTGCTCTTTGCACTGTGGGTGTGTATCTGTAAACCTGTACATACCAATGGTCAATGTACCGGCAGAGGGGTTTTATGGTACAGGGCTGGGGTTAACCCTAGATTTTTATTTTTCTCGAAGCAATGTGGCTATTTTTTTTTATAGGATCCTTGTTATGGCCCACCCCCTTTTTCCTCATACTTTGTACATTGCACAACTGGAATTGCCCCATTAAACCTCTGTGTCCCTCCTGACTGCCACCTGGTGTTGTTGTGCGGCGGTGACAGTGTGCCACTGTCATTGCAGTCCCTCTGGGCACCGGGCTGGGGCAGCTGCAGGGGAGTCCTGGGGATGCCCGTGTCCCAGAAGAGGGTTTTCAGTGTGTGCTGGGGCACTGCAGGGAGGTGGGGGCTGCTGGTGTTTGCCTTGGCTGCTGGGCTGTTTGCACACCAACACTTCTGCATTAGGTTCTGGGATGGAGCAGCACTGCCTGCTGCCAAGTTATATGAACACTGCCTCTGGGTAGCAGGAGGTGTGGGGTGGCTGTGCTGGCGGGCACGTAGGGATGGTGGGCACGGGGTGGCACTGTCCCCGGGGGGTTGCAACACTGGGGCTGGCAGTGGGGGGCAAGAGGTTGCCACAGCCTGACACTATTGCACAAATCATGCTTAGAACCCAATATTATTATTTTCTCCTTGCTGTGTTGCGTTGTCAGCGGCCACGGTGCCAAGCAGCTGCCTGGAAATGATGTCAGAGCCCAACTTCAGCACGCAGCCTGCAGAGCCGCCAGCTCCTGCTGTGCCCTGTGCGGGATATGGGTGCCACGAGACCCCTGAGCCATGCGCTGCCCAGGGCCTGGAGTGAGGTGGCACCCACATATAACTAGAGTGAGGTCTCAGGGAACTGCTCCACCACCCACTCTGGGGAGCCCCATGGGTCCCCATCGGGCGCAGGAGGGTCGCAGCAAGGCCCCGCATGCATCCCACTGCTGTGGGGTGAGTGCCGGAAAGGAGAGCGCTGCCTATTGCTTTAAGCTCCCTCCCCGACCACGGGTATTTTTTTATTTTTTCTCCCGCTCTATGAATGGGTTTTGCTGTAAATTATAGCTTTGCACACATTCCCTCGGGTCGAGGAAAATAACCTCTGCCGAAAAGCCAGCCCGGATTGGTGAGCGGCTCCCCCTCTCCGCTCCCTAATTGAAACCAAATGTGCGAGATGTAGGATTGTGGGATTTCTGGCCGGCTCCCAGGAATCCGCAGAATGTGAGCGCGCTCGCAGAGGCATCTTGCATCAGCCCAGGGAAGTTCGCTCCTCGCCTGGCTCCCGCCGCCCGGGCGAGGGGCGAGCAGCTCGCCTGCTGCCGTCCCCATCCCGCTCCGGTGAGTCCCTTGGGGTGTATGGGAGGTGCCCAACCCCAGTCTGGGGGTTTCAGGGGGATGAGGGGTCTGTGCTCTGTTTGGACGCTGTGTATTGGGGCTGGGCGCGGAGCGTGCATCTGGTGGCGGTGCTGAATGGCCGTGGTGCCGCGCTGTCTCTGCGGTCCCCAGCCGGGCACGCGTGTCCCCATGGCTGTGAGGGACGCAGGGATGCCGCTTGGGTGCCCCCAAGCACCCTTTCCCAATCCCAGCGTTGGGGACCCGCTCGTGGTTTGCCGTGCCAGGGCCGTGTGGCTGTGTGCCATGGCAGGGTGATGCCATGCGCTGTGGTGGGGTGATGCCATGCGCCATGGCGAGGTGATGCCGCGTGGCTGTGTGCCGTGGCACGGAGCGGGAGGAGAGCTACAGCTTTCAGCTGCTGGGGGCCCGTTTGGGGTGCAGCGCCGCAGGGCCACGTCTGCACCCACTGCCACGGGGCCGTGCCGTTGGCGTCTCTCTGGGCAGTCATGGGGATGCGGCTGATGCTCGTAATGTGCCACTGGGATGTCCCTGCTGAGCCTGTGGTTGGGGAGACACTGTGGATCCAGAAGACAGGGCTGCCTCTGGCTCAACCAAGGTCCAAAGCGACATTTTCTGTGAGGAAAGGGTTCCGGCATGCTGTGCTGTTCTGCATAGGCTGTGCTGGTGGTGTGGCATGCTTGGGACTATAGTGTCAGCTCCAGACCCTCACCCAAACACCAGCAGCCCTGTGCTTGGCACGTCATGGCCATTCTGGGGGAGATGGGATCCAGCTCCTGGCACAGCCTCAGTGCCTCCTTCCCCTGCAGCAGTGTACTCAGAAAGCCCACAGGGTCATCACCAAGCTTCATTTACTTTCATTTACTTTTTTTTTTCCCTGCTAATTTCAGTAGAAGAAGAGGGGGAAAAAAAAAAGTAAAAAAAAAAAAAAAAAAAAAAAAAAAAAAAAAAAAAAAAGTAAAAATAAATAAATAAAATTGAAGCGGAAGAGGGAAGCTCAGAAGCAGCAGAAGGTGCCAGGGAGGAACTCCAAATACACTGTGCAGTAAAAATTTCCAACGGTCAGAAAACTTCAGCAAAGTTGTTCAGACAGACTGGTCACTTTTGTCAGAGTGGTGGAACAAAACCCATTTCCAGCTGCTGTGCCAACGCTTGGTACCTCCGCCTGTGCCACCGTCCTGCTGCTGCCCCTGGTGGGACAGTCAGCGTTCCCTGCATCCGCCCAAATAGAAACCCGGCGCCTTCAGAGACAGCGGCATCTGGTCCCCTGATGCTTACAGGGTTTACTCAGCCTGAAAGAATAGTGGGAAAAATGTCTACAGATGTCCCCTGGAATGCAGAAGGAAATTGAGATTTTAGCGTTGGAGGAGTTGGCCATCACCAACGGGAGCCTTGCGCTCGCCCGGAGCCGTGTGGTTGAAGATCCAGGCTGGCAGCTCGGCCCGCTCCCTGCATTTTCCGAGCTGTCAGCAGGAAAAAGGGCAACAACATACGTGCTTTTCCAAAAGGGAGAGAAGAAAAGGGAAAGAAAGGATTGCTGTAAGTCAGGGGGTGTGTTTGTGCTGCTGTGGAACTCTCCCTTTGCACACAGGCTGTGCTCGCTGCATCCTCCCTCTGTTCCAGCAGCACCAAGCTCGAGAACTGTCTCAGTAAATACCCTATAAATCTCAGGCAATTACCTGTTATTATCTCTCAGAGCCAGAAGGCAAGGAAACTATGCTCTGCAATGTGATATTACTGCCATACAAGATGAGGTTGTGCAATGCCTTGCTTTTATGGCCATCCCTGGCGCTTCTGCCTTTGGGTTCAGGACGGTGCCTGGAGACTTCATGTGGCTCTCATGGCCCTACTGGTACTGGGGTTGTGGCATTGGGGTGCCTCTGAGTGCAGGGGATACTCAACCCATCCCAGCAGTGTTGTGACCCTCTGGTCGTGTCTCTGCAGGACTCTCGCCATGCCGGCCCTGCCCAGAGCTGCCCTGCTGCTGCTATTGCTTCTGCTGCTGTGCATCCTGCTGGCAGCCAGAGCCCAGGTCAACCCTGGTAAGTGGGAGCTGGGCAGCAGCCAGAGGCTACGGGGCTGGGGCACGGCCCCTGCTTGAGCCATGGGTATGCCTGGCCTCATCCAGCCAGGCTGGCTGCCCCCTCAGCCAGGTTTACAGTTTGGGAATTCAGTGGGCTGCCTTGCAGTGCGTGCCAAGCCGTGCAGGAAGGCACACTGCACTCTGTGCCCACCCCTCCACACGAGACCACAGTGTGCTCCACTGGGGCTTGGCATCGCCCAGCTCTGCACTGCTCCGTGCCCTCTGGTTGCGGGGGGAGCGCTGCGGGCTGGAGCTGGCAGAGAGATGGTAAACAGGGCCAGACAAGTGGCCTTTCAGCAGCGCTCCTGGCAGCCAGGTGCGAAATAACAACCCCTTGGGATGTAGTGCTGCACAGGGGATGCAGCCCACCCGCCCGTCCTGGTACTTTTCCACTCCCTGCGAGGCAGGCGGGAGGGTGAGCACCTGACTTTGACCCATATGTAGGTTGGGGAGCAGCATGGCCAAGAGTGGGGGATTGCAGGTGGAATTTGGGGTGCATAGAGTCTGGATGGAGGCCTCTTCCACCACTGCTTATGTGCTTTTTGGCAGCTGTGTGCCGGTACCCTCTGGGAATGTCGGGTGGGCACATCCCTGATGAGGACATCTCAGCCTCCAGCCAGTGGTCTGAGTCCACGGCCGCCAAGTATGGACGGTGAGTGTGGGAACAGGCAGGGAGGGCTGAGAAGGGGCAGGATCTGCTGGGGCATGAGGTTGACACTGGCTATCTCTGAGCCCTCCCCATACTGTCGCAGGCTGGACTCGGAGGAGGGTGATGGCGCCTGGTGCCCCGAGATCCCAGTAGAGCCTGACGACCTGAAGGAGTTCCTGCAGATCGACCTGCATGCCCTGCACTTCATCACACTGGTGGGCACCCAGGGCCGTCACGCCGGGGGGCATGGCAACGAGTTTGCCCCTATGTACAAGATCAACTACAGCCGGGATGGCACCCGCTGGATCTCCTGGCGGAACCGGCACGGGAAGCAGGTGAGGAGGCTGCAGGGCACAGCCCGCCCCACGCCTCAGCACCTCGTTTTGCCCACTGGGTTCTGTCCCCTAGGTCCTGGATGGAAACTCCAACCCCTACGACATCGTCCTCAAGGACCTGGAGCCACCGCTCATTGCGCGCTTCGTCCGTTTCATCCCCGTCACTGACCACTCCATGAACGTGTGCCTGCGTGTGGAGCTGTACGGCTGTGCGTGGCTTGGTGGGTGCCTGTCTGTCTGTCTGTCCGTCCACCCATTGGGGCTGGGCTTACTGTCCCTTCCCCACAGACGGGCTGGTGTCCTACAGTGCTCCGGCCGGGCAGCAGCTCGTCCTACCCAGCGGTACCGTCATTTACCTGAACGACTCTGTGTATGATGGGGCCTTCGGGTACAGGTGAGGACCAGAGTCTTGGGCAGGAATTAGAGGGTCTCATGGTAAAGCTCACTGGTGGGGGTAAAGATACGGCTCACAGAGTGCCCCTGTCCCCATGCCAGCATGACGGAGGGCCTGGGCCAGCTGACAGATGGCGTGTCAGGGCTGGATGACTTCACACAGACCCACGAGTACCACGTCTGGCCAGGCTATGACTACGTGGGCTGGCGCAATGAAAGCACCGCCGGCGGCTACGTGGAGATCACCTTCGAGTTCGACCGCATCAGGAACTTCACCACGATGAAGGTCCGCATGCCCCGCGCTCCCCGTCCCCGTCCCCTCCGCGTGCCCCGCTGACGGGTTGCCCCACAGGTGCACTGCAACAACATGTTCGCCAAAGGGGTGAAGATCTTCAAGGAGGTGCAGTGCTATTTCCGATCCGATGCCAGCGAGTGGGAGCCCAACGCCATCTCCTCGGTGCTGGTGCTGGACGACGTCAACCCCAGTGCCCGCTTCGTCACCGTGCCCCTGCTGCACCGCATGGCCAGCGCCATCAAGTGCCAGTACTACTTTGCTGATACCTGGATGATGTTCAGCGAGATCACCTTTCAATCGGGTACCACTGCCCTGCAGGGTCCTCCTGGGGCTTGTGGGGAAAGCAGGGATGTGGGATGCTTATGTTCCGGTCCTTAGAATGGTTGGAAAAGACCTCTAAGATCATCTAATCCAACCATCAACCAATCTCAACTGTGCCAACTAAACCACATCCTTCAGTGCCACATCTCAGATGCAGGTGGTTCTTGAACACCTCTAGGGATAGTGACTCCACCACCCCCACCCCGAGCAGCCTGTGCCAGTGCCTCACCCCTCCTTCAGAGAAGAAATTTTTCCTAATATCCAACCCATCCTTGACAATCTCCTCTTCTCCCTTGCCAGATGCAGCCATGTACAACAACTCAGCAATTCCCCCGGAGATGCCCATGGCCCCCACCACATACGGTAAGGCACCAAAAAGCAACTTGCACAAAACCTGGTGGAGGCTGGGGTCACCTTCTCTTGGGAAGATGCACGGAGGCTCCAAAAGGGGAAGATCTGCCTCATCTGATGGAGAAAAGGGTACAGGGTTTGTCCCCTCACCCCAGTGTGACCAAGTGTGTATTGTCCCTCCTGCCAGACCCCACGCTCAAGATGGATGATAGCAACACACGCATCCTGATCGGGTGCCTGGTGGCAATCATCTTCATCCTGGTGGCCATCATAGTCATCATTCTGTGGCGGCAGTTCTGGCAGAAGATGCTGGAAAAGGTGAGTGCACATGGGACAGCTGCAGGGCCTCTGTGCCACCCCCAGCTAGTTGAGGGCTCAGTGGTGACCATTCCAAATGCTTCTCCATGGGGCCAGATGACAGAAGGGGACAGGCTGAGGGACAAGTGGGGGTATGCAAGGACATGTGCCCTCCCCAGTTCCACCATTATGGGACAGGGCACAAGAGAGGGGCTCTGAGTGTGGGCTCAGGGTTAGCCATGGCTGTGGTGTTGGGACAGAGTGTACAGAGCCCAGGAGACCCATGGGATAGCACACACTGGGGTCCTATCCCAGCTATCTCCTCCCTCACCCCCTCCCACAGGCATCACGGAGGATGCTGGATGACGAGATGACCGTCAGCCTCTCCCTGCCCAGCGAATCCAGCATGTTCAACCACAATCGCTCCTCCTCCTCCAGCGAGCACGAGTCCAATTCCACCTACGACCGCATATTTCCCTTGGGTCCGGACTACCAGGAGCCCTCACGCCTGATTCGCAAGCTGCCTGAGTTCACGGCGGGTGAGGAGGACACGGGTAAGGAATGGGAGATCCTCCTGGACTCACTGCAGTGTGATGGGCATAGTGCTGGGTGGGAGCTGCCCCATGACCTGTGGGCTGCACGCCTATGGCAGGATCGTCCCTACTGTCTCCCCAGGCTGCAGTGGCCTCGTGAAGCCATCCCCAGCCAGCGGCCCCGAGGGTGTCCCGCATTATGCCGAGGCTGAGATTGTGAACCTGCAGGGCGTCACGGGTGGCAACACCTACTCGGTGCCAGCCCTCACCATGGACCTGCTGTCTGGCAAGGATGTGGCCGTTGAGGAGTTCCCCAGGAAGCTGCTGACCTTCAAAGAGAAGCTAGGGGAGGGCCAGTTTGGGGAGGTGAGCTGGAGATGGCAGGCACAAAGCCTCCGTGGGCTGGGACAGATGGAGCTGGTCCTTGTGGTGACCAAAGGAGACCACTGCTGGAGGTGATGCCCATCTGTGGCCTCCTTGTCAGGTTCATCTCTGTGAGGTGGAGGGGATGGAGAAGTTCGCAGACAAGGAATTCACCCTGGAGGGCTTGGATGCCAGCCCTAACTGCCCCGTTCTAGTGGCTGTGAAGATGCTGCGGGCTGATGCCAACAAGAATGCCAGGTATTGCTCTCATAGCACAGCCCCTGGTGGGACACCTGTATCCTCTGAGCAGTGTCCCCAGTTTCCAGCACACTTATGTGCCGTGGGTCCTTACCATCCCCTGCCCACAAAGCCCATCCCACACTGCCCCCAAGCCAAGGGGAGGGTCCCCCTGCCATGTCCTTTGATTATCGGGCACTTCACCCCACTGTGCCGGGATGTCTGATCCCTGTGGCTTCTGTTCTGGATAGGAATGATTTCCTGAAGGAAATCAAGATCATGTCACGGCTCAAGGACCCCAACATCATCCGACTGCTGGCGGTGTGCATCACGGACGACCCGCTGTGCATGATCACTGAGTACATGGAGAACGGTGACCTCAACCAGTTTCTGTCCCGCCACGAGGCACAGAGCCCTGCCGACGCCCAGGTGCCCACCATCAGGTAGTGCTGTGGGTGGGGGCACAGGGACAGTGGGGCACCCAGTGTCGCCCAGCCCCTCAGCCCTGCTCGGTGTCCCCAGCTACAGCGACCTGCGCTTCATGGCCACTCAGATCGCCTCCGGCATGAAATACCTGTCCTCCCTCAACTTCGTGCACCGTGACCTGGCCACACGCAACTGCCTGGTGGGCAAGAGGTACACCATCAAGATCGCCGACTTCGGCATGAGCCGGAACCTCTACAGCGGGGATTACTACCGCATCCAGGGCCGTGCCGTGCTGCCCATCCGTTGGATGTCCTGGGAGAGCATCCTGCTGGTATGGCCAAGTGTCACGGGTCAGCCCGTGGCATCTTCATCTTGGATGGGTCATGCCTGGCGGGTGGCCTTGGGAGGCACAAGGGGAAAGGGACCCCTTTGGGAGATGGGATGAGAGCATTGCGGTCATGCTCTGTCCCCATGCTGGGTATGGAGCTGGGAGGTTCAGGAGGCTTTGATCTCCAGGCATTAGGAGCTGTGGGGCTGTAGGGTGTTGCTCATCCCAATCCCGCTCTGCTTACTCCTGCCAGGGCAAATTCACCACGGCCAGTGATGTGTGGGCATTTGGTGTGACACTGTGGGAGACTTTCACGCTGTGCCGGGAGCAGCCCTACTCACAGCTGTCTGATGAGCAGGTCATCGAGAACACCGGAGAGTTCTTCCGGGACCAGGGCCGGCAGGTAGGAATGGGACAGGCAGTGCTGGGTGGAAGCTGCAGGCCTGGGGAGAATAGTAGAATCATAGAGTCATCAAGGTTGGAAAAGACCGCTAAGATCACTTTGTCCAACCATCAAACCATCAGGATGCTAAGGGAGATGGATGGGGAGTCCGGCGGCTCTTTGCCATGAATACGAAGTCCTGGAGCATGGTGGAATTAGGCTCCCTAGGGCCAGTATGGTGAGTGTGCAGAGGCACACGTTGCCTAGAGAGGTGGTGGATGCCCCGTCCCTGGAGACAGCCAAGATCAGGCAGGATGGGGCTCTGAGCATCTGGTGGAGCTGTGGGTGTCCCTGTTCAGTGCAGGGGCGTGGGACCAGATGGCCTTTTAGGGTCCCATCTAACTCGAACAATTCTGTGATTTTATGATTTTGCTGTTGTCCGGTGGTTGTACATGGAGCTAACTCTCTCTCTTTGCCTTTTGTTTTGAAGACGTACCTTCCCAAGCCTGCACTGTGCCCTGATTCTGTCTATAAGCTAATGCTGAGCTGCTGGAGACGGGACACTAAAGACCGTCCGTCCTTCCAGGACCTGCACCGCCAGCTGCAGGAGGCGGCCACCGAGGAGTGACCCCGTGCTCAGCGGGCACCACTTCCCAGGAGGAGAGCCCCAGTGCGGCAGGGGGAGCACAGGGCAGCACGGCCCCGGGGCTCCGAGCTGGGAGCGCTGCGGGCTGGACAGAGGTTATTTATTGGGGATGGTGACTTTGTGGGCCCAGGACCACGTGCCTTAAGGGAACCCATCCGGTTCCTCGCCGTGCACCATCAGACCCCTGCATGTGGACAGGAAGAACTGTGGATTTCAGGGTGCACGGACCCCTCTGACTTTTTTTTTACACCGTTACTTCATCGCGGCACCATTCGCAGTACCCTATTGCTGAGGCATGTATATATTCAGTAGAAGCACCTGTATATACGGGAGAACCCGCTGAAGAGATGCTCGGTGTCGTGGTTTCCTTGGGGCTCCCGGGTGACACGTGGGAACGCGGCCCCAAAGAGCGCGGCGCCCGATGGGCGGGGCGAGAGCGCGCGGAAGTAGGCGGGGCCAAACAGGCCACGCCCATAACCTCCATCTCGCCCCGCCCCGCCTCTCGCCCCACCATCACGCCACCGGCCGTGTGGCCACGCCCCCTCCTTCTGCCCCCATTGGTCGAGGAGGAAGGCGGAGCGATGACGTAGGAGGAGGAGAGGGCGGGTAGCGGATATAGGGCAGCGGTAGCGGGCGAGCCGGGAGCGAGATCCGGACCGACATGGAGCGTGTGGTGCTGGTGACGGGAGCCAGCGGGTAAGCGCGTGGGGCTGGACGTCTCGGTGTCTGGGGTCTGGGGTGGGTATTGCCTGCGCTTGACGCTGATCATCGTGCCGTTGCAGCGGCGTGGGGCTGGCGTTGTGCCGCCGGCTGCTGGGGGAGGATGGACGCATCCACCTGTGCCTCGCCTGTCGCAACGCCCAGAAGGCAGAGGCCACGCGGGACTTGGTGCTGCAGGAGTACCCCGCCGCGCAGGTCTCCACCGTGGAGGTAGACCTGGGCAACCTGGCCTCCGTGCTGCGTGCCGCTCAGGAGCTGCGCTGCAGGTGAGTGGGTAACCCTGCTGTCCCCATCTGACCCCCCCTGCTGTCCCCATCTGACCCTGTCGTGTCCCCCTGTGCTGCTCACCCCGCTGTCCCGCTCTCCTTACAGGTTCCAGCGCCTGGACTTTGTCTACCTCAATGCCGGCATCATGCCCAACCCTCATGTCAACTTCAAGGCCCTCTGGAAGGGGCTCCTGACCGGGTAAGGATGTGGGTGTCACTGTGAGCCAGCCCTGACTCGAGGGGTTGGTGAGCAAGGGTCCAAACTGATGGACCCTAACTCAGCTTAGCATCACAGCACAGCTCAGGTTGGATGGGATCTGCAGGTGCCCTTCAGGTCAGGCTGCCCAGGATCCCACACAACCTTGAACACTTCCACAGATGGGGCATCCCCAGGTTCTCTGGGCTGCCTGTGCCGGGGCCTTGCCACCATAGAGAAGTTCCTTATGTTTGACTGAAATTCAGTTTAAAACCTTTGCCCTGGAGCACCAGGAAGTGTGGCTGTGCTCGGGGCACCCTGCGTGCAGTCTGAGCCCTGCTGTAGGGCCGGCTGGAGGGGAGGTTGGTGCTCAGCCCAGGCCTGGGGAGGAGTGAAAAATACTTATGTGTTCTTGGGGGATGAAGCGTGCTCTCACTGGATCTTGTTTCTGTGCTTTTTGGTTTCCCAGCTGTAGGTCATGGTGTTTTGTGATGCTGTGATAGCAGGCTGTTAATGGGAGAGCAGAGCTTAAGATCAAAGTTATGAGATGGATTCTGATACAGCTGGGTGCTGAATGTAGATGCTAGGCTGCTTTCCTTATCTGCTAGTTGGTCTTTGTTCCATGCCTGAGATTGGTTTTCATATCTGAATGCTTCCTCTCTGTTTCCTACCCTTGGTATCTAGGAAGGTGCTCCACATGCTGACCACTGCAGAAGGCATCATGACACAGACCGACAGACTGAATGGAGATGGGCTGCAGGAGGTGTTTACCACCAACCTCTTTGGGCACTTCATCCTGGTGAGGGTGTGTGAAGGTTGGGCTGTAGGTCTGGGTAACACAGCACAGTGGGTGCTGATGTGGGTTCTACCTTACAGGTTCTGATCCTGGTGCAAGCTTAGGCCTGAAAGGTAAAGAATTATAGGAGAAAGGTCTTCTGCCGTGTTGAAATAGCTTTAAAGTGGTCACAGAGTTGTTGTAAGGATTAATGCAATCTAAAGCTTAATGTAGTCAGTGGGTAAACCAGGCACAACTCTTTCCCTCTCCAAGCAGGCCACCAAAGCTTGGCTCTGTGGACTTTTGAAGTATTCCTCTGAGCTGTGCAGAACACTGCCACTGCGTGTACAGCTTCCTGGGGAAACGTGGGCTGAAGCTGCATCTGAGCTGTGGCTGCTTTTTCAGCATTCCCTGCTTGGTGTGGCTCATGTGCAGCCCATCTATGAGGGTTGGCCATTACTAGAAAAGATGAGCTAGCAGCTTTTCAGTATGGTAAAACGATGCCATAAAACTTTACAATTGTGGTGACAATCCTTTTTCAGATTCGTCAGCTCGAGTCTCTGCTCTGTGGTAATGAAAAGCCATCACGACTCATCTGGACCTCCTCCAGCAATGCAAGGGAATCTGCCTTCAGCCTGTCTGACTATCAGCATGCCAAGGGGCAGGAATCATACAGTTCCTCCAAATATGCCACTGACCTGACAAGTGTGGTTCTGAACAGGAAATTTAATAAGCAGGTGACAATGGGATTTGTGTGTCTGGACTTAATGAGCAGCTACTATTTGTAATTATTGTTACATTGTTGTTGCCCTGCTGCATTAGTTCACAGCAAGCAGATATGTGCCCTAATGCATGCGTAGGAACTAGCTGTGGCTGTGGCTGCACTGGTGGGGCATGCAGGCAGCCAGCCACAAGTCTTCCTGCTTGGGCCATTCACTACAGAGTATTTCTGATAGCAGAAACTTTTAGGAGAGGTTCCTACCTTGCAAGCTTTACTTTTCTATTGAAACCAAAGAATTGGTCTTAAAGAGCAAAGGGCTGAAGAGCAGGCCAGTCTTCTCAGGTGCATGTGCCAATTGGTGCACTTGAGGCACAGATTCTGCCAGAGGGAGGGGGTAGGAGCCCTTCTTTACTATTGTGTAGTTACAAACTGACTCGGTTTCTTCTCTGCAGGGTCTGTATTCCAGTGTTGTTTGTCCTGGCCTCGTTATGTCCAACATGACCTTCCGAATTTTGCCAGTTTTTATGTGGGTGCTGCTGATGCCCATCATGTTTTTGGTAAGAGGCTCTTAGCTGGTTGGAGGGAGCTCTTTGGAGCAGCCTACCTGTGGCTTCTCACTACTATTATGGCTCCGTAGCTCTTCAGTTGAATTGGGTAGCCATGCCCTGTGTGGGCAACTTGCTGACTTGTTTGAGGAGCTGGTGGTTCCTCAAAGCAACCCTCTGGTCTTCTGGAGCAGCAGGCTTCCTGAGAGGAGAGAGATGGCAGTCTCCTCTAGGAACTTCTTGAAGCATGGGGCACATAGGGGAGAGTTAATGATACCCCTTTAACCTACTCCAGGTAGGTGCTGCTGCTCTTGCTGTGTGCTCTGAAACACAGCCTGTTGTCTGGAGTGGCTTTCAGGACTTGAGTGTCTGCTTCTTGTGGGCTGCTCTTCCAGTGAAGGTGCAAAGCACAGCTTGGAGAATGAAAGCCTTGCTGCATCTGCTTCACACTGGGAGAAGGGCACTGCTAGTGTCCTTATTCTGCTGTAGGTTCCTTGTGGGAAGGAGAAACAGAAGGTGTTCCAGGTCTTGCCAACCTGCCCTTGGGTACTATAGGGCAGGTCCTGGTTTTTCCAGCAGAGATCCTCAAAGAAGTCTGCTGCTGGGAAGTACTGCACACAGATAGAGCTCAGCTTTTCAGCTGCAGCAGCATCAGCAAGACTCCCAATGCCAGCCTGGTGTGGGCTTGCAAAATACCATGCTTTTCAGCAGTAGTGGAGTTCTGGACAAAGCTTGTCCCTCATTCCTTGACATGCTGTTTGTTTTTGCAACAGACTTTGTCTTTCTTAGAGGTACAGAAGGAGCACTGAAAAAGTGCCAAGTTGTTTGCTCTCTGTCCCTTCTCCTGCTCCCCAAAATCTGTCTTTGCATTTCTTCCTATAGCTTCAGCTTTCTAGACTCAGTGCAGTTCTGGCTCTGCTGCAGGATGCCTGCCCCAGCTGTCTGAGCAGGCAGTGGCTGATCCTGGCAGATCACCTTTCTCCTGACAAGTGCCTTCTCACTTGTCCTCAGCACTGATGGTGTTGCAGACCCATTTGGTCTCCAGCCATACCACAACCGCACAGGGCAGGTGGCAAAGTGTCTGTGGGCTTTGTGCTTGCCTTGTTGCCTGCCTCCTTCTGCCTATGGAGTGAGGCTTGCTGGTCTGGTGGGTGGCCCAGGGAACCAAGCTTGTGGGGACAGAGGGATGCTTCAGTTGTAAGTGTGCAGCATTGACTGTAGGCAGCTTTGAAAGCATTTCTACCCCTGGTAGATGGTCTTGTGTTGTTGAGCTTGTCAAAGAAACCTTGAGTCAAAATACTGATTCTTTCTTGTATTTTTCTTTTCCCCCCCATCAGATACGTTTCTTTGCCAAGACTTACACTCTGACACCTTATAATGGAGCAGAAGCTCATGTAAGTGCTTCACTATTTAATTTAACAGCCCTCTCTCTTGGGTAGCTCTTCCTAGCACCTGCAGGCTTTAACTAAGAGCCACTCTACAGGGCTGGGGTCTGTGTGCTGGATTTCTCCTCTGAATCCCTTACAGCAGGGAGTGCTGGGAGACCAGAAGTGACCAGGGCTGATCCCACAGGTCTCTTTGTCAGAGAATGGAGGATTTAGGCAAACCTCTGCCCCTTCTTCTTCTAATGGGAGTGTTGCCCTGCCTGCTTGCTGTCAAACCACAGGCGCGTAGCCTGAGGGCAATGCAGGCAGGGTAGGTTGAAGCTTAGGGCAGCCAGTTTGGAATTTCTCCAGATATCTAGTCTCCCCATGCTTAATGAAAGCACCCGTGGTGTTTTCACCCCTGTCAGCCAGCAGCTGGGACCCTACCTGTAGGTTTGTTTGGGACTGCCTGCATGACTGTGCTGTTCTTCTTAGGTGTGGCTGTTCAAGCAGAAGCCAGAATACCTGGATCCACTTGTCAAGTACCACAGCTGTACCTCTGGACTGGGGAAGAACTTTGTGGAGCCTAGAAAGGTGAACAGAGCAGCAGCTTCCTGCTGTGGGGGCTTGGCTTGGCTGGGGTCCTGCTTTGTGCTGCCTGGTACAGAGCAGAAGGGTTGGTGATGGAGGTCCTGGGGCTGGAGAGGAAATAGCTGCGTGCTGAGCAGAAAAGAGGGATGTGGGATATCTATGAGGCTTTCCTGGAGTAGCACATCTGCCATCCTCATACTGCAGTCTGGAAGCTCTTAGGATCACCTAGGAGGGTTTGTGTTGGTTTCTGTTCTATCTGTTCTTTAATTGAGCAATCCCTCTGTTGGGCTGGGGGGAAGGTGGGAACAAAGGCAACAGTAAGTACTTCTGATGTCACCTGATGTTCAGGTGGTAGCAGGGGAATGTGGGAGCTGGAGGTACTTCTGGTCTCTGACAGTGTGTCATGGTTGAGACTGCTGCACCACAAGCTTGACTTGAACAGGCTCTCTATGACCTGGTGTTTTGGCAACAAAGATCTTGCTCAGAACAGGATCAGTGTGTTACGATGCTTCCCCATAACATGCTCTGGGCTGTGACCTGGAGATGGATGCCTTTGGGTGCCCCTCTAAAGAATCCAGAGCTGCCCTCAGTATCTCTACGGGCCGCCACCAATGACATGTCTCAGTCTCACCCTTCTTATTCTTTTCCAGATTGATGTGGATGAAGAAACTGCTGAGAAATTTTACCAGAAGCTGTTGGAACTGGAGGAGCAAACTCTAGAGAAATACGGCGATCTCCTAGATTAAATAAAACTCATTCTCAATGAGTTAAGGCTTCTATCAGTAACATGGCTTCCTTCATTCTGGTGCTACTTGGGGTGCCTGCTGTTCTGTGGGCATATGGCTTCAGCACTGATCTTCCTTCTCTAAAGAAGGTGAACAGTTCCTGAAAATGGAAATGTGACAACTGAAGAAGAATATTTAGTCTTTCTGGTATGGGATTTTTCTGGCATAAAACTGGAGACCTAGTGTAGGTGGAAACTGTCCTAACACAGCTGTGAGGGGTTGTCTTCTAAAAACATGACTGAACTGTGTACAGCTCAAGAGGAGCCTCAAAACGTGGTTTGAATGTGGCTTGGTGTGGGGAAGGCAACAGCCTGGGGTGCTGCTGTGAGTTGTGGCTCCACCAGTCCTTCGAGATGGTTTGAACTCATGACCTGTGGCTAATCCTGACATACTTGAAGGTCCAACTTCAGCTGAGCTGCTTCTGTTTGCACCTCAGAGCTTGGGCCAGCATTCCGAGGGGCTGGCAAGATTGAGCCTTGCTGAAGGTCAGGCTGTGTATGGCCCTGAAGCAAAGCTCCTGAAAAAGAGGGGTTGTTCCTGAAATGGAATGGCACCCCTTGCCTCTGCTGTGAGGACAGATGCTTTTTGGATAGCTGGAAAACGTGAGCCATCCCTTGGATTTGCGGCCCTATGTTCTAGCCATGACTGACTGGGAAGGCTGAGGCTGTTGAAGTTAGCTGGGTTTCAGGGCCTAACTGCTCTGTCTGTTGCAAGAATGAGGTCACCCTGTTATTTATATCTATTTAACTGTCTTTTTATATTTAATAAGTATTCTTTCTGTTACCTATCTCATGAGTACCTGGTGTACTTTCAATGCTGCAACAAATAAATAATGAGCACTCACTCGTCCTTGCTACAATGGAGTTTTTGCTGCGATATGGGATGCTGTGAGCTGGGAGGGAGGGCAGACCTGTGTGTAGCAGGGAAGTGAGGGGTCCCCAGGGCAACCTGTTGAGCAGGGCATCCCCTGTGAGCAACCTGTTCATGTGCCTTTTAATTAATTAGTAGGCGTTAGTAACTCCTGAGGACTTCAGTGTGGTTTTGTACATCGAATGCTTGTCCGAGACGATTTCCCTGCTTCAAGTGCTTGAGACAAGTGGATGTCTCCAGCACTTACTCACCTACCTTGTCACATAACTAGTGATTAATTACTGTGTTACTGGGAACACTGGCTGTGCCCAGGCACTGCCCTGGGGTAGGCAGGAGCTGGCAGGAAAGTTCAGCATGCAGCCTCTGACTTCTGTAAAGCAGATGGAGGGTGTGCTTGAGTGAGCCTTCAGTTAAGCACAGTAAAGGCTGTCCTGGGCCAACCTGGGCTCTAGCTTTGTTCAGCTGAACTTCTCAGGGCTGTAATCCCACTTTTCTGGGCAGGAAAGGAGGTAATGATAGCTAAGCCAGTGGCTGGCTGGCTGCCTCCGCTTGGGCTTCTGTGTACCTTGTCTTACAACACTATTTGGCTTCTTGTTCTAGAGACTAATTAAGCCTTTCCCTTGATTGGCTTTAGACATGTTTCTTGAACGCTGCAGTGCTTCTGCCCTGGGATTTGCTAGGTATCATTCATCCATACAGCTTTCGGATTCTCATAGTCAGAGACACTCCATCATTCCTCATACTGTGGATGTTGTGCTCTGCTCTGACAGCTCTTTCTTAGCTTCTTTAGTTTGTGACGTATGGAGCAGCAGCTCACAACAGTCTGACACAATGCATCACGAAATGAGTGCAGCTTGTGGGAGGTGGGAAGCAGAGGGTTCTTATGCCAAGGTAATCACAGGTGTTGTTTGTGCCTCCTCTCGGAGCCAGCTGTATGGCTTGGTATAGAGTAAGAAATGTGTGCAGTCCTGACACCATAGCTGTGATGGTGTGAGGAGCTGAACTGCAGTGGGATCTAGAGAAGCCAGCTTTCCATCAACTGGAAGTCAACTACAAGGGGGAATGGTCTTAAACTGAGACACGGGAGGTTTAGGTTAGATACTAGGATGAAGTTTTTCACCCGGAGGTTGGTGATGCACTGGAACAGGTTGCCCAAGGAGGTTGTGATGCCCCATCCCTGGAGGCATTTGAGGCCAGGCTGGACGTGGCTCTGGGCAGCCTGGGCTGGTGGTTGGTGATCCTGCACACAGCAGGGGGTTGGAACTACATGATCATTGTGCTTCTTTTTAACCCAGGCCATTCTATGTATGTGGAAAAAGCAAATGTTTTCTGGTGTGCAACCTTTTAAGCCTGGGATGAAGTAACCAATTTGCAGGATGGGCAGAAATTGATGACAATAGGTGGGATCTTGGATGATTTTTCTCATTCGTGCTTCAGTTGCACATTTGTTGGAGAAGGTGAGCCTGGTGGGATGGGACATGTGCTTTTTGCCTGCACAGAGGATCCGGCTCTGTTTCTTGCTTGGCCTTCAGCTGGGAACCATGGGCAGAACCTGGTGCCTTGGAAGGGAAGCTGCCCCATGCCTGGGTGCAGCCCAGCTGCTTACTCTCCTTGTTTGGCTCCCTGGAGAGAGCGTGCGGGTCAATGTGTGTTGCTGGAGAAGTGAGGGCTGGGCTGCCCTAATTCCCTATCCATTCTTCCTGCCCTGGTTCTGTGTTGTTCTGTGCTGTCTGGTGCATGGGTGGCAGGTAAGGAGGTGTTTGGAGCTGTTCTAGGCTCAAGGTGTGCCCAGGGACACTGAGTTGCTCAGCAGTGTGTGTGTGTGGAGTTTATCCCCAGCTAATCCCTCTAGCCTGAGGCACATCCAGTCATAAAACTGGTAATGGAGCAATGACAACTGGGTCAAGGAGAGCAGGCGAGTGCTGCACACATCCATCAGCCTTTTCCCAGCACACTTCTGTCCCCTCATCTTGTGTGCTATGGCGAAGAAGACCCAACCAATGCCAAGGTGTGAGTCAAGGGCACTGCTTGGGTTGTGCATGTGAAATCGGCAAGCCCTTCATGCAGCAAAACCAGCTCTTGCCCTGAGCACTTGGCCAGGTGTGACAAAGATGGGTGAAAAATGCAGGGACATGTGACAAGTGACAAGTCTGGAATGGCAACAGTGAGTCAGTGCTGAAGCAGGAGTCTTCTGCAGGTTTGGGGGCTTCCAGAGATGCTCTGACGTGGGTGCTAAGCGTGAAAGCTTGCCATGGTTGTTTCACAACATCCTGCATGGCTGGGCTGTGTGTTCCTCCTCTGCTAGCCATTGTGGCTGGTCCGTGACCACTGATTTCTTAGCTCTACAGGCAAAGGAGTTGGCTTGCTCCTGATGCAGCTCAGGTCTACCATCACTTACAGCTCAGCTGGCTTTACCTATGTAGGGCACTGGTTGTGGGAGTGGGAGGACTGAGATCCGCTGGGCTGGGTGAGCTCTGCCCCTCTAACACGGAATCACCAGTAAGCAGATCAGTCCCTGTAAACAGGTGCAATGCAGCCATCCTGTTTCAAAACATCCAGTATTAATTAATCTTCCAGTGGCAACTTTGCTGTTGGCAAGTGCTTGGCAGGAGCTGCCAAGGCTGGGGGCAGATGACTCAGTGCTGAAGCTCTGGGCTGCTCACGGGGGGATAAAGCCTCTCTAGGGATCCTTGCAGAAGCACAACAGCTCCAGGGAGAAGAACCAGCAGGGCACGGGACTGGGTTGTTTTGCTGCAGGCTTTGGCTGCAGGCAGGTTCCTTGCCTGCCATGAAGGAACAAGGTAGAGATGGGATCCGCCATCTTGTTTCCCTGTGCCCCCCCACAGGCCTGCAGCTGGGCCGTGGGTGTCTCGGTGCGGCTGTCATTGCTGTCCCATGACACACAGGGTCAGGCTGGGTGACACTGGGGATTATTAGGTCCCAGATATATTGCTTGGGGTACCTCGTGGTGCTGGTGGCACGTGGTGAACGTGTCCCTGTGACGCCCGCCCTGCTGCTCGCTGCCCACCTGGTGCCAAACTGTGCTGCGTCATCAGCCACAACATGTCCTGCCAGCGCCCCGCATGACCCGGGGAGCCTTATCAATCACCTCTTTATCAGCCCTTGCTCATCTGCCTTTGCTCCCCACCTTTTCCGCTTAGCTGTGCAGCATCGGTGCTCCAGGCTAGAGCATGGGGTGCAGGCACATGGAGGGTCGGTTCCTCGTCCACGTGGGAGCTGTGACTGCAGTGTCCTGAGCTCTGTGAGAGCACAGCTTATTGGAGCAGGACAGGCAGCTCCGGCCATTACCTGTGCTTGCTTTGTGGTTCCGCCAAGTGCTGAGCACCAGCAGCTCCTGCAGGGGCTGCTTGCCTGCATGGAGCTCTGCCTGCATTTCCCTGCAGCACCTGGAAACCAACTTCTCTCTGAGCTTGAAGTATCCCCAGGACATTTGAGTGGAGTTTTACCTGGGAGATTAGAATGGGTTTTGCTTCCTTGCTTCGTGCAGCTGTGAGCAGTGCAGTAGCCCCTGGAAGCTGTCATTTAGGGCTTCCTCAGCCCCTGTGTCCCCTGTGGGCTGTCCCCCACCAGGGCAGGGACCTGGGCTCCTGGGCTGAGCGTTGGTATTGGCTGCAGAACCCTAGGATGGTTTTGCCCAGCAGACTGAGCGTGTTGTTCTGCTCCAGAGTGTGGGCACAAGGAGAATGTGTTTTGAAACCCAATGAGGTGGAACCTCCCATTGATTACAGGGGCTTGAACAGGTTTAATTACAGTGTGCAGTGGGGACAGTGCAAGTCAGCTGGAGGGAGGCAGGATGTGTAGAGCTGTGTGCATGCACTATGGGGGGAGAACAGAGGTGTGAAATGCGGATGGATGTTGGACTCTCCCCTCCATTGCCCTCTGGCTGGAGCAGCTGGGGGGCATAGATTTCAGAGTAATATGGCTACAAAGCAGAATGTGTGATCTGGCCCTAACTCTGTACTCAGCTCCTGTGCAGCTCAGCTTGGTGTGGCTTCTCCAAAATCCAGCTTCAAGGTGCACTTCCCACGTGGAATAGGCCCGCCCAGGAAGCTGAGGGCACGCTGCAGCCTGCTGGTACAGCTAAGCACTCCTGGCTTGGGCAAGGCTCCCTGCCTGGCCAGGGCACCCTGCAGAAGAATTCTGGTATAGGTGTGCCTCCTGCAGGCAACCTGCTGGGCAGCCTCAGAACCAGCTGCCTTCCAGGGCAGGTGTGCATTCACTGATCACCATTTGACTCATAGGCAGAAACAGAATTGTCGTTGCTGAGGTCAGCTGGGAGCCACTCATTGCTGGGCAATTCGGATTTGCGTCATGAGCTTTCCTGCACAGTCACCCACCTCCCTGGGATGGATTTCCTCCTACAGCAG